GCAGCACATGCCTTCCCACCATGGACAGAGCTGAGATTTCAGAGTGAAAAGCTCTTTCTGAGTAGAAAGCCTGGATGTGCTGGGCTGTGGCACAAGCAGTTGAGTGAAGTGCACTCAAAACAGGGGCTTGACAGGTCTGTCACTGCTGTGGCATACTGTGCATTACAGTTTAGCACTGTTGCTCTAGTGCTCTGTGTGCCAAATGAAGCCGTTAGCAGATTTGAGATCTATCAACCATCTGTGCCTGTTATCTGTTCATCCTCAAGTGGGAAAAAGCTATCAGTGCAGAGATGTAGTTGGATGTGGTGGTTCCAGAAGGTCTCTGGGATATGCCTTGGTCATTTGAGGTAATGTGTCCCTCACATAGCATTTACTGCTCAGTCCTTCCCCCTGGAAAAATGTTTGAGTCTTTTGAGAAGCCTATTAACATGAGAACTCATTGCAGTATCTTTTGCTGAATAGTTGGCCATGACCAGCGATACCCAGGCAACTTTGGTGTGAATGAGAAACGTAATAATCCATGAAAGGGCTTTTTTTATTGTATATATTTTAATTTATGTTACATCGGGTTAATAAATGAGGAGGGAAAAGGGTTTGTTATGGCTTTCTTCCTGGTGATGGATTAGAATACACCAGCTGTAACACACCATTTACAGAGATGTCTGGAGTCATTGTATATCAGAGCTGAAAATTATATTGTCCCTATCAGTGCAAAATACCTTTTGGTAGTCCTTGGGAGGGTTTCTTACATGCTGCTGCCTCACTGTGTTGCAGTAAAAGGGACACGTGGAAGCAAAATGATTGATTATTAGCCCTGGTGTTTGTAATTTGATCAGTGCAGCAAGTGTTAGCCAATAATGATTTGTTTTCTCTCCCTTACACCCTTATTGATGTGTTTCATTGTCTGAGTGTCTGAAGTTCCGAATCTGGAATGTCCTGCCACCAAGTCTAACTCTGTTTTGTTTAACCCAAAGGCAAATCCTTAGTATGAAGCTGTAGGAATGAGGTCTGAACTGAGAGCAAATTCAACTCGTTATGTTGCAAAACTGAAACCTCTGTACTCTGTCAAATGCAAACACTGAAATAAATCATGACTGTCCACTTGACTGTGAGTCTGCTCAGATTGCTCAGACAGTAGCTTTAGACATCTTGAGAACAGTAAACTGCTTTACAGGGTAAATTTACAGAGTTTTCATTAGTCACTCAGAGAGGAAATCAAATTTAACAGGTTGTAATAATTTTTGTTTGGTGATAAGGTATGCCAGAGAGTACTGGCCAGTCAGTAAAGTTGTTTTACTCATTATGTGTTTACCAGTCTAGGGGAGATTGTCTTCTACTTGTGTTACCCTACTGGGTACAGGGTACTTTTCCAGAATATGTGCAGCCTCAAGAGAACAGATCTTTTTATTTAATTCAGTCAGTTTATATAGTATTGTTGGTCGTTTCAAATAGCAGCTCCTTTTAAATAAACTTGCAGGATTTATTGCCATGGAGCCAACTCAAACACTCTGAAGTGATTCTATAAACTGTTAGTTCATAGACTAGGGCTCTATGGCCAAACAGGCTATGATGATAAACCTTGACAGCTCTAGAATATTTTGAAGTTTTGCATTTTGGAGGCTTGAAAAGCTGTGACTCCAGCCTGAGAATTTTCCCTTGGTTCTCATGCTGGGAGATGTGTTTTTTCAGAAATTTTAGAAATAGCAAGGAATTAGTCTTTGCACTTTGAAGTTCTGAAATATGTGGTCATTTTCTTTATTTGTGGGTGTACTTGGTTCTGTTTCTATATGTGGATATGCCATCCTAGTGCTTTATAGGTGGATAGAGAGGAATTTTTAGGGGATTCAGAAGGGACAAGCACAAATTAAATTACTGAGATAAATGATTCTGCAGGAGTTAAGATGACAAGGGGCATACCTTTGTGTGGAAGAACACCATTATTGAAGCACTCAGTTGCTGAGAATTGTTTATTTTTCTTATTTTAAAATCTGTGATCACACAGAATCAGAACCTGGTTGTAGTAAAAGGAATAAGATGGGTCAGTTAAGGCAGAAAAGGAGCAGAATATATCCATGAAACTTGAAAGAAATGCTGTGATGCATGAGAAAATGTTTGTTTTGCCTTGGTTTTATGTGTTTGGAGTTTTTTTTCCCCTAGAAATGGAGTTAGCTAACTTCCAGTCCCAGTAGGCTTTGATCTGTAAACAGTTGCCTCAGGAACAAACTGCATACTCATGCTCTCCTGCAGAAATGTTGGATACTCAGATTTGGCTGTTATTTGAGCTACATCTGTGAATTTCGGGAAGCTGATTTTTCTTTGGGTGTTCTCTAAAAAAAACATGCCATCTTCATTTTGTTCCTTGGGAGTTGTGGTCTACAGCACCAATTCTTGTTTTGAAATCTCGTAACTCCTCTTGATAGAACAGATCTTTAACTCAGACTTAAAACATCCTAAAAGTTGATGTAAATAGAAATGTAGAGGTGATTCGGTAGATTTTTAGAAACTTTATAACAAATCTAAAAGAGAACAAAAAACCAACCATACAGGGACAGACTATGAATAGTTCATACTTTATATCATTGGAGGCTGCTGACTGTCTGTGGAGGATTGTCATTATGTCAGAATTTCTCACACTGTGAGTGGTGAGATCTTCCTCTTCTCTCCCCTATCTCAGTTCCTCTCTCTGTACTTGCTGAGCACAGAAAGCAGCCATGACTGAGGTTACTGTCTGATACACATCATATGTGTATCACCGTTGGTTTTTCCCATTGCTGAGTTTAAAGGAGGGGAAAGATTGTCTTCCAGGAGGTTAAACAAACCTCAGAGCACCTGACACTTCCTATGCCTCTGGAAGGATTGTGCACTGAATCATATAGCTCAGAATTCATGGGACCAGTTAGGCTTCTGCTGTGTTTGTGTATTAAATACCTTTTTAGATTTGGCCCTGTATACTTTGAATTCCCAGTATTATATTTGAAACTGTGAATAATTAGAACCTAGCATTTCACTACTGCACTGGATACTGAGATGCACCTGCATACTGTGAAAATATCTGAGAGGTTAAAAAGTTCCTTCCACTGAACTATTAAAAATAAGTCTTTTCTGAATCTCAGCATATTCATTCATCTCAAATTTTTCTTTGCATGTGTCCTGGTATAAAAAAACTAATGCATGTTTCAAAAGGAAGAAGTAAAACTATTGTGGCTTGTGTGTGTAAAACTTTTGACATAATATAATACATAACTAATAGAAAATGATGAAACAGTCTCTATAGCTCTTTGGTGACCAAAATTCAATATTATTAATATAAATATGTTATGGTAATAATAAGAGATTTGCAAGAAAGTGGAGTTCATTTGTTTCTAAGAGATGCTTGACCTCTGCTACTTTATGATCTGTTAGAGAGAGCTAAGGCTCACAAAAGCTGGCTTTCTTCCTATTTTACCTGGAAGGCATTATTTTTTCAATAAATACCAAAATCAAGTCAATATTTTTAGAACCAGGATAATTGCCACTTGAAATGGACTAATCTTTGCTCAGAAGTTGTCTGACACTTTATACCCAATGTCAGCAGGAAAGAAATAATTAAGACATATGATTTTGGTAATTGATAGGGAACATTTGAATGGGTTACATAAATAATAGACTAATCAAAGTATTGTATAACGGTTTACAAAAACACATGCCCTACTGCATGTGCATTTATTTAAATTAATGTTGCTGTCAGAATTTATGTGGAATTTTGAAAGAGGATTTCATTTTCACCTCATGGTTAATGCTCTCATAAATAATAATTTGTCAATTTATAGGATAAGCTATACTATTAAATTGTACAGCATACCTCTTTAAAACATAGGTGTGAATTTACTGTTCTGGACAATTACTCTGTGGATAAAACTGCAACTTTCAAATCTCATTTCCATGTCTGTCAAATCCTACTCTTAAGTCATTTTCTCTTCTAATGAGAATTAATGATATTAATAATCCAATGCTATGCAGAAGAGACCTGGGACTTATCTTGTGTATGCAGTATCATGCAGTATTTTTCTAAAGAAGATATTAATACGTCATTGATAACTGACCATCATATCTAAAAAATAAAAGTAAAAAAACTCCAAAATCAGCTCTTTCCCAAAAAGAAAATGCTTTAAAAATACATTCACAATTGACTTCTGTTTTTTTTTTCATTAAAGCATGTGAAAGCTGTACTTGTTAATCATTTACTAAGTGTTGATATATTTTGAACACCAAAAAAGCTTAGTCTGATAGTTTGGGGTAAGGCTAAATCTGCTTACAGGAATCTTCCATTCTTCCCCATTCTTTTCTAAAACCACTTTACTTTTATATGATTGTATGAAGGAAGGATGCATTTACTATCTGAAATTAAAGAAAAGGTTGTATTTCTCTTGAAAGGCAATTTGAACATGCTTTGTGGTCAGATCTTCTACATGCAAACTACAGTATCCATAGTATGAAAAAAACATTGTTGCAGTCTTTGCATTTATTTGTGCCCGTATCAGGTTTCCACAACCGAGTCTGCTATTTACTTCAAAACAGCCCCATGAATATTCTTTGGGTTCCACTGCTGCTCATTAGAAGGTGCTGTGGCAGCCTGGCATCAGCAGAGTCCCCACATGGAAACTCTTTTCATCAGTAGTCACTGTCATCTGTTAGGGTGTTTCTGGGCTGAGCTTCTCAAGCTCTGTGTAGGGTGGCTTTTTTTCCTTCTCTGGACAGGAAAGTAGGGCCCCTGCATGTGTTTAACCCCACTTTTTTTTTCAGGATACTAATATTTCTGCTTTTAATTGACAGCAGTTTTATGGGAGAGTGTGTCCCAGATGTGGCTGCTCTAAAATGAAAGAGCACTAGTGTTGGGCTTGAATGTTTCCCATCTAATTACCATTTGCCCCTTCATTTTATTTTGGAAGGTTTTTTTTCAATTGAGTATGGGGTTTCCAAATCATTCTGGTAATCCTGGATTTTTTCTCTTGTTTTTACAGGTGACCTGTAACTGTTTCACCATCAGTAATGGAGAGATGCAGGATGTTGGTGTTGGCCTGTATCCCAGGTACTGTGGACACTGTTTCATTCACAGGCAGAATCTATGTCAGTTTTTTCTCTTGTTTCCAAGGTAGCTGTAAGGACCATCAAAGCAGCAGGTAACATGTCTAAATGAGAAACTAGGAAATGGAAATAAATTAAAGGCGAGTAAAAAAATACAGTCTAGTTGAAAACATTCTTAATAGTCCTGATTAAAGCATTAAAACAGTTTAAATAGTATACATCTTTATATTTTAGTTTTGTAGAGATGGTAGTCTTTTCTAAGTAAGAATAAATGCTGACATCAAGAATGTGCAACTGGGACTAGTTAAGGGAAACCTGTTCAGTGATGCTTTGGAATATAGATATTTTACAGCTGAGAGCCTTCAGAATAAGTAATTAAAAGAAAAATATTGATATATTTGCAAGTAAATTACCATAACAAAGAAACCAGCAAGGTGAAAAGATAAGTCCCTTAAGAAATAGATGTTAATATTTTAATTTCTTTTTATTGTTTCTTATAACAGTAGTGTGTACCAATGATAGTTTTATCTTCATAGAATTAGTACCCTGTAATCATAAATATGGAACATTACTATGTAGTTGAAAAGGATGTTTTACTATCTAATTTTTTTTGTTAATGCATGGTTGAATTATGTTTGTCAGTACCTCAGTGGGCCTGTCACTTGTTTCTTTTCCTTCTAGTGTCATATGTAAATTTGACTAAGGACACTTAATATCTTGAGGTCTGCCTTGTAGTAAAGGTGAGGAAAAGGTGGTTAGGAGGACATGGGAATTAGTGTAATGAAAAGTGCATAACAGTAATTTGATTTCACAATGGAGTGAAACAATGCTTGAGAAAAATTAAATATTATTTTGGAGCATTATTATTAGGGAAATGTTTGTTTTTGGTTGAAAAAAAGCCCTTAAACAGTGAAGAAAGTATCTGTCTATGTTCAATGATAATGCACTGCCAAAGGATGCAAGAGACTCTTTCTCAGGTCACTTCAGAGCAGTTTGTTATAGCAGAAAAGCTGGGCAAATTGAGAACTTTAAATCTGTGGTTTACAAGTCCTGGGCAAATGCCCTTCCAGATGAATTCATATGCTTCCAGAGGAAATTGTCATCAAACTCACTAGTGTCTCCATGAGAGGAGATTTAACTAAAAGTTCTTTATTAAGCCTTATTAAGAGGCTGTATATTGTTGTATGGCTTGATAGCTTCAGCATCACAATATATTTTAAAATAGGTGAAATCCTCTGGTCCTGCTGTGCATCACATTATGAGCAGCTTTCAGAGTGTGCCAGTGATCTCACAATAAGTGTAATGGGTACTCTCGCAGTGGGTTCTTAAGGAATTAACCACAGATATTTTATTAGGCAAGAAGGGATACCAAAAGAGTCAGGCCCCTGTTGATACCTCTTTTATGAGTCAAAATACTAAATAAACATGATTTGATGCAGGGCTCTGACCCTCAGCAGCATCTTCTATTTTACCAACAACAGTTGGGATTTTAAGCTGCTGAATCAGACAAGGACAAGGACAGAATATAAACGCAGCCAGGAGCTGGATAAGCCAAAAATTCTTCTTCCAGGCTGATAATGCCAGAATTATTCTTTCAATGGGTCGTTCCCATAGGGAAAGAACCATCAACCCCATTTCTGCTACAGCAGAAGTGTTTGCCTAGGAAAGTCAGTTGTTTCTCAGCTAAGGAAACTCATGATTCAAAGTATATAGCAGATGTTGCTAGCAGCCTCGTTCAGAGAGAGGGAAGGGTGTGTTTGTGCAGCATTTATGTCTCTTGAGGGTGTCAGCATGAGCTGTGCTGCTCCAGCTGTCACATGCCACAAGAACAGAAGTTGGGCCAAAATATGCATAAAGCAGAGGCAATGGCCATTTCTTCTCTCAACTCTATACACCAGCTTCTTTGGCTTTGGGACATAGTATACTTCATTTTCTCCTGATATGAAATACAGGTTGATTGTTGGCCCCTTTGAGCTGTGCTTGCAATGACAGTCAGGTAATCGATAAGGTTAGTGCCCTGGAACTGAGCAGAAGCAGCAGAAATCACTCAGTGCCTCCTGCTCTGACTGTCAAGATTTCCTTGTTCCCCGTGCCCTGTCCCCTGAGTCAGGGCTCTCGGAGAGGCATTGGGGGCCATTGCCTTCCTGCTGCCCTGAATAGACAAAAGGCAGAAACACTTGAAGAGATCCCGGCGTGGCTCCTATTACCAATGAATATAAATCTTCTAACCATTCATTTTCCTCTCCTAACCAAGAGCAGGTGATTTAACAGGGAATTTATTTGTTTCATGACTTAATTGCTTTATACTTCAGATGTAATCATGTTAGCTCCTTTCAAATGATAAAAGGGAAATGGCAGTGGAGACTCCTCTGTTAAGTTTCTTTTTTTTCTTTCTTTCTTTCTTTCCTTCCCCCTCTACCACCCCTCACAGCATGTCTCTACTGAACCACAGCTGTGACCCAAACTGCGTGATCGTTTTTGAAGGATACCAGCTTTTGCTTCACTCTGTCCGAGAGATCCAGATTGGTGAAGAGGTAATTAACTTGTCTTCCCTTCCATCACAGACACCTGCAACAATGACATCTCCCTAAATAAATTCCAGACTGCTGGGCCACCAGCTTAATATTTTGATGATATATTGATGCCACTTTCTAGCACATAGCTATCAGGGGGGAAATGATAAATAGAATCATCTCTTCACACTGCCTGGGCCCCATAATCATTACTTCTCATAAATCACTAGCAGTCTTGATAAATTCCTGTTCCTCCTTTCTTCCTCTAGGCACTTCATTTTGTTTGTATTTGAGTGTCTTTACCCTGACGGAAACATTTACAATATTTCTGAGTGGAATGCGGTGTTCCCTAAGTCATTGCAACAATAACATTTGTCAGGCGGCAACCATGCAGTTGTAGTAAACCTTTCATTGGCAGTGAAAGCAGCAAAGCAAGGTTTGTTTTCTTGTCCATTTCACTAGGAAAGACTTCAAAATATCCTTTTCAAGAGATTTCTAATTTGATCTAAGATATTTTCTATTTTTACAACGGCACTTGTATAAATTGAAAATAAGCATTTGTGGCTAGAAATCAAAATAAATGTGCTTTGCAGCAATGCAAAACTTACCTAATAAAACCTGAAAAGAAATGTGTGCATATATGTAACTTCAGATGCACCAATGACCTACACAGTCCTTAGATGTTGGCCATTTCAAAATCCAGACCTAATGTAATTATGGTTCACACCTGTTCTTAAAACTCTGGGAATATGAAGACCATAAATATTTTGATTTAGACACAGTATTTATTTAGCTCCCTATGAAGTTTATTATTTTTTAATGTATTCTTTCTCAAAGATAGTAGGGCATCAAAGTAAGTAAATGGTAGAAAAATTTTTTAGGCCATCAAAATAAATAAGTGGTAGAATATTTTTTTCAGCAAAAGATTGTTAAGAAACAACAGAAATGTTTTTGCATACTTACCTTTTTGCCAAGAGAAATATTTCAGGATGCAATATATGTTTGTGGAGCTATTAATTGTAGACATCTTTCAGTCCAGCATTCTTGTTTAAGTGTTATTATAAACACCTTCCTTCTATTTTAATCCATAAACCATAGTTTTCCTCTTTGCTTCCCAATTCACAAAGATGGATTGCTTATTTAAAAATACAGTAGATTTTAATGTCTTACCAGGAAGAAAATGGGCTTAAGGCTTAAGAGACAAAGTAAAGCTACAAAGTCAGTATTAGGTTAGACTTGTTATGGGAAGAGGAAGGGGAATAAAATTTTTGTGAGGGTATGTACAAGTCAGCAGTTCAGTATTATTGTCAGTACTTATTTACTTTTCCTTGTATACAACTTCATTTTGTGCTCTGCATGATGGCTCTGGTGCAACTTTCCACACTGCCTTACTCCTTGCTGGCAGCAGGGTGAGCTCCGTTTTAGTAATAACCAGGTATTGAATTTACACACATATGTATGTGGAACTGTATCATCTGCTGTGAGTTGAGTTTTAACTTCTATTACTGATGTCTAGATCTGAGCTAATGGGAGAGAAGATACATGTTAGGGAGGAAACTGATTGGGTGTTCTAAATTTTAATCACTAGAAATTTTCTCTTATGCTGTTCAAACTTACTCTAGATGCAGACAGTATGAGATCCTCTATAAAATTATTATCAGAAAATGAGCACTAAGATTTATCAGAAATAAGAAGCTAAGTAGCAAGTCAAGTTCAGATTAGTAGAAGAGGACTATGGCTTTTCCATCCATGCAGGAACATATTTTTGCACATTTGTAGTGCTTTCTGTTGGAGCACACTACAGCAGGTTACTCATGCTAAGGAGTTGTTGACCACCTATAATTGCAGGGAAAACAGAGACATGGGGAGCTGTGATGAATGGCCACTGTGGTCATCTCAGCATTCTGAACTTTGCTTCCAGCATCTCAGAACTAATTATAACATCTTTATGCTTTTCAATATAATCACAGAATCACAGAATGTTTAGAGTTGGAAGGAATCTCTGAGATCATCTTGTCCCCTGCTGTGGGCAGAGACACCTTTCACTAGACCAGGTTGCTCAGAGTTCCATCCAACCCAACCTTGAACTCTACTAGGGATGGAGGCTCCACAACTTCTCTGTAATGCTGACAGTTTTTGTTACTTTAGGTGATGCTAATTTGACAGCATACAAAGATTTCCTTTACTTGCAGTTCTTTGCAAAAATGAAATTTAAGTGTTGCAAAGAAAGGTAAGATATGGGGAAAGATTATAAAATAGCAAAAATTATTAATCTAGAGATCACAAGGGCTCGTTTACTGACAAGATAGCCTATCAGCTAGTTTTGTCTAAAAGATAAGCAGCATACTGTGAAGAGGTCTTCATCATTTCCCTACCCTTAAGTAACCACTTCAAACTGCATCAAGATGTGTGCTATAATTTCAATTGACTTTTTGTTAGTTGCTGAGTCTACCTGGTGTTTTGCAGGCGGACATGAAATGATTTCACCTCCTCTCCAATCAGAAGTTGTGGGGTTCGAATCAATTAATCTTGCTGAGAGACAGAATGGATTAGCTGAGGTTCAGTTCTGCTCCAAAATGGGTTCTTTGCTTCTCACCAGCTTCAGAGTTCAGTTAGAGCAAATCTGTATCTTTCTTCAGAATATCACATAACTGACTGTACCTTACAGAGCAACATTTTTTTAATTAATACTGAAAACAAATAATGATTTCAGATGATGAGCAAATAAATCTATTTTCATAATCCATTTCAACCAAGTTATATCATGTTTCTCTTACTGTAATTCTGTGAGATGTTTTGTATCTGTGTATGCTTGGCACATAACATTTTGTCCCATTAAAGTTTTTAGAACCAAATTTTTCCTTGAATTAGAAGGCATTTTTATCTTACATGCCAAAACCTTAAGAGTGCACTGTTAAGCACTTCTATAATGCTGTCTCAGGAATAGATTTCTGTACACAATCCTCTGAGACCCATGATTTCAAAACCAAGAAGATTCTTTTTTTTTTTTCCTCCCTTCCATTTGCATTGAAATAGTTGATTTTAATTTTTTACAGAATTTTCTGTCTAGAAAATTTGTGGCTTATATTCTGTTACCAAAAAAACCCAAACAAACACAACCCCCCCCCCAATCCAAAATAACGAAAGCAAAAAACCAACAAAACTCTACATAAATTAAGTCCACTGCATTGTGGCAGTACTGGAAAATTGTGTCCACCTCAGCTGGCAGATGAGGAGCATGAGAAACCAACCACCATACCCAAGATTAAAGAATTTCTGTGTCAGAGCAAGAAGAAGCAGGGCTCAGACAGTGCTATATTTCTAAGGAGAAAGTCTTAAGAGTCAGTGTTAAATTATTTCTTGCCTTCATAAATGTTTTTTAATATATATTCTCCAGTTCAGGGGGAAAAGATTTACTGCATTCTTTATAACCAATGCAATAAAGAGGCAAGCTGTGGTCAGTTAAGTAATGTTTCAATTAGTAGCATACATCCCACATGCAAATACCATTAAGACAACCTTTGATAAATGGGCATATTTCCTAAATATGTACAAATTAAATGAGCCTTGCATCTAATGAAATGATACAAAATTAAAGCAAGGATAGAAGAGAGACTTGAATACAGAAATTTTATGTTTAAACAATTAAATGATTAGTATAGGCTGAGTCACTGTTAGCTGGATCATGTTTCTAAATATTCAAATTATATTTTTTACCGCTCAGTCGGCCAGCTACAAACATTTTTTTACTTATGGATTTCTGCTGGCAGGGCTGGGAACTTGAACTTGGGCAAGTTGTTAAAATGCTAAAAGGAGAGATCAATGTGATGAAGCCTCTTCTCCTCTTTCTATCCAGTCATATGTTTTAATCCAGAGCATATTGTTATGTGGTTGTTCATATCCACAACTGTTTGGTAACCTCTGAAAAATAAATGTCTCTTTTGAAACTTCTTCCTACCCCCAAGGTTTCTGCAACATAAATGAAAAGAGAGGGGGAAAAAAGCAAAAAATATATGGAGAGAAAGGGATGAAGCCTGTAGGCTGGATAGATAAGGTATATTTGATGTTGGCTCTGTGTTTGTTTTGCAGTATTAAAATTGAAACCTGCCTAATGATGGTTTCAATAGTAATGACAGGGTTTAAACCATTGTCTTAAATATTTTGGCAAAGAATAGACTAATCTCACATGAATTATTTTTCCCATAAGATTCCTACTGTCTTGCAGTATGTCTGAACTTGATTAAATCCTTTTTACTGCTGGATGCCACCTGAACCTAAAGCCCAGTAGGATATGAGTCAAAACCAGAGATGTTTATGCAGAAGACAAGAGACAGGGAACAGCCAGTGTGTGGAATGATTTTGACAGAAAACACTTGTGAATTGCAATGAGACATGAAGATCAGGAGGCTTTTGATGGGAGAGGGGAATTGGGTTTGGAATGTCTGGAGGATGAGGTTAGGACTGCAGCTTGGATGGAAAATGCTTTGTGGGAAGGGAGAGAGACAGATCTTTCTTACCACACCAAGGAGGATGCAGATTAGGACCAGCTGTGGAAAGAAGAGAGGACAAAGTTCTTGGGGTCACTGAAGATATTTGAGAAATCAGAGTAGGGCAACAAGGAGTGTTAACTTGAGAAAGCCAGTGAACAGAGTGGGGAAGTGTAAGATAAGGCTGAAGGACAGATCTGAGACTGGCAAAAGGATGAAATTGTCCCATTGTATGAAAAGGGGCTATGTAAGGAGATAGAATTCATGGCTAGAAAACAGGTTTAGATAATCAGGTGTTGAGAATAAAACTGGAAGATGATACTCACAGAGAGAAGAGAAGAGAAGAGAAGAGAAGAGAAGAGAAGAGAAGAGAAGAGAAGAGAAGAGAAGAGAAGAGAAGAGAAGAGAAGAGAAGTCAAAGCTTGGAAGAAAAGGATGAAAAATAAGCAGGACAATTTCTATCCATTCACTGCAGAAAGATCAGAGGGAAGTCTATGGCTCCCATGTACAATATTTGTACAGACTGTCTGTAAGCCAGTATTGGTGAAACTAATCCTCTCTTGGCTCAGACATGCACAAGCTGGGACAGAACAACATTATATAAAATTCTAAACCTAACAAAGTTCTCACACTTTCTAACTTTTGATTAATTGTGGAATTTTAATTTGTCTCTTTCATTAATTATACTATTAATCTTCAATTATGAGGCCATATTTATCTTAAGTGCTTGACTTTGCCATCTCAGTAGACTTTTTTTAACATAGTCCTCCTTCAATATATAATCAAATTACACTTTAATAATAAATTTTTTAAATGCAGGCATTGTTTTAGTTGCTTGTTAATTGCTCATTCAATTATAATGCTCACTAATTTGCAAAATGCAGGTTCTGACAATGAATTTCATGGTCATTACTAAAATTGGTCAGGTTTTCCTGTAATTTCTTTGAATGGACTCTCATGATTTAACTGAAAACCATGTGAAAATTCTCCCAATTAGTTGAAGTGTCTAGGCTCAGGATGAAATAATGTGACCTGATTTTTTTCAGCTCTGACCTCTCTGGAGTGTTTCAAAGTGTGTTGGGCGTAGAGTGTAATCACTCAATACCATGTGTGACTGAATGCTGGTCTGAACTGAGCTGGTTTTTTGTTGTGTTCTTTTCCTTATCATTAGTTTGTGCCTGTGCAGCACTTTAAACATTTCAAGAACTCTACAAATGGTTAGTCCTGTAAAATTCTTTCTGTCAGGCGTCAAAGTGAACAAACTACAGACTTCACCCTCTACAGTGTAAGAAGTTGAAAATGGCACAAGTGTAGGCAGAAATTTTCTTTTATCATTTTAATAAATCTTCTTGTTAATAGTTTCAACAACTTAGACTGCAATGCTTTTGTGCTTCCTTGGTCACAAGGGAAACATCACAGACATACTGAAAAGGGGTATGGCATGAGAGGAATTATCCTCAGGCTCAAACATATATTTGCAAGAAAGTAGGGGCTTCCCTGAGAAAAAAAATTCGACGATAGTTGGATATTGTATAACAGTAATGGTAAATACACACTTAAGCTCTGGAGCTAGACAGAAAATGAGATTTCATGCACAAGGAATTCAGATACTTTATACAGCATTTCTTTGCTATCTTTTCTTACTCTTCTTTCTTCTTTTATATTTCTTCCAAATTGGGATTAAAAGTTGAAATAGTGATCATTTTGGGTGGAATTAATAATTTCAAACAATATTGATCTTGAAATGAGAAAAAGTGTTCTTCCATGGAAATTATTTTCCTCTTTTTTCACCTTCTGTAAAAGTAGTCAATTTCCTCTAGAAAATAATCTGTTATCATTTTATTTTATGCTGGGAAAAATGTTGTATCCAAAAAATGTTGGCTCTGCTAATACATACACAGAATATGGATTTTTTTTATAATACATACCAACTCTTTTCTTTATATGCTGCACACAGCTCACCATCAGCTACGTTGAATCACTGATGCCTACCAGGGAACGCCAAAAGCAACTGATGCGCCAGTATTGCTTTGAATGTGATTGTCCTCTCTGCCAGAATCAAGAGAAGGTAGGTTGAGAGAAGAAATTCCTTGCCAGTGAAACAGAATTTTCCAAGGCCCATCAGCAGCTTTCCTTTCTTATCGTGGTACTTACCTTTTGCTGCTAATTGAATGGCCAGGATAGGGAAGAAAATTGCTTCTGCCCTCCTTGTGGCTTTTGTTGCTGTGAAAGACAACTCTGAGTGAAAGAAAAGCAGGATATACTGGCATTTTTCTATTCAAAAGAATAATCTTGGAACTTCAACTGAAGCCAGTTGTCTGATACTACAGGAACATTGTGCTTATCCTCAAAATAATGTTGAATTAATTTTACCAAACACCTGCATCAGTAATTTTCAAGAGCCACCAAGCTTGTTCAGCAGTTGTTAGAAGGAATGGTGAACATGCTTGAGTGACTGTAGCTTTTATACTCACATCACAAGTTCTTGGAGTGGCTGGTCAGTGGTTCTAGTAGATAAACTTTAGTTCAGTGTGATCTCTTGCTAAGGTTCAGCCTAGCCTGATTTGGTTATATTCTGGTTTACTTCATATTTATACAACCTTGGCACAATAAATTTGTCTCAGAGCCTGATGAGAGATTAAATGGAACGGGCAAAATGAGGCTGGCTTCATAGCAGTTTATGCACTTAGTCTTTTTTGTTATATGTGCAGTTGTTCTTATTTTCACAAATGAATGTTTGGAGTAAGTCACCTGCCATAGCTAAATGTGTTCCTGAAAGATTAGAAATAGTAGGAAAAGTATTGATAAAAATGTAATTCCATGGAGCATAATATGATTAAATAATTGCTGCACAGGGAGAAAACAAAACAAAACAAACAAACATACAAATAAAAAGCAAACAAACAAAAAAAGAGAACAAGTTTAAACTGTAACAACTATAACTTATGCTCTGATTCATCACTAGGCAGTTAAAAAAAGAGAACATAGAAATTTTCAGACTTATGACATAATGCTAAATTACTTCCTGTCCATATTGGCATTCTGTGCCTGATAAAAGCTGCTGCAATTCTACTCAGAGGCAGTGAAGTGAAGACCTCTTTTTGTCTTTCTTTTCAAGATGGTCACGCAAGTGCCGTGAAATCTCGGATTAGTTTTGGGTAAATGTCATCCTCACAGATGCAATGATGATTAAGAAAAATAAGCAGGCTAAAGAGTCTTCAAGGATCACTTAACAGTTTGTGGAAGGGTAGACAAGTGATGTAAAGACCATTCAGAATGTGGAATGTTTTAGGAAATAATATCCCCAGGCTGGTGTACGTTTCATTGTAAGAATCAGCATATAACGTGAAGAAATACTGTAGTGAAATTGTATGTGCACATATTAATGAAAACAATACTCTCGTATATAGGTTAAAATTAATTCAAGTTTTTCTTTTTCTTTTTGAAAATATAATTGTCATTGGTGTTCATATTCTATAGATTTTTTTTTTTTTTTGCCCTTTCACAAAATTTCCCTGGGAATGATATTGTGAAATGTTTGGAAAACGCTTTGTGACTGCATTCTGAAATTCTGTGGTTGTCTGATTGTTACCATGTAGAGAGGTCTGTGAAGGTCTAGAAGCCTCGTGGCAACTCGGTCTGTTAATGTCTGTGAAGAAGATATCTTTATCCCCAGCCTCAGTTTAGGGTGATTAAATGTTATCTGTAGCAGTCCTCACAGTATTGTATTTCATTTCTCTGTGAAATCTGAATTTTTTTAATTTCTACAAGACTAGCTTGTTTTTGGTTTTTTTTCCCATTTATCTCAGTCACTGCTAGTAAGCTGAGTTATGTAACACTGCAGCTACAGCAGGAGATAGTATTTTTGGAAATTCTGGGGTTTTAAACTACAAAATGTCTAGATTTAGGTGTTTAAAGTTGATAAAATTATTCAAGACATCCCTGCTGAAATATCCCTAATACTGAAACAAATTTCCTAGTCATCTTAGAAATTTTTTTTAAAGCAAAATCTTTGTCTTATCTTAAATCAAAATCTTAATCTTCAATAGAGTAGGCAACAGCTGTAATTTTGGGTCGTCAAGAGTGGCAGAGTCAATATTGTGAATCCATATGGTCAGCTAATAGTAAATTCCCATATTGCAACATTGCTTTGCAGAAAAAAAAGAGAGTTTAGTCAACAGCAATTCATCTCGTATATCTCTCTTATAGGTAAAAATGCAAATTCCAGAAATGCTTTATCCATTCAAGTAAGTTCTTGTGTGTTGGGGATTTTTTTCAGTTGCATTCATCTCATCAAAAAAGTTAGAACCGTTTTTGAAATCACATTGGTAGGCACTTACACAAACACTTAGAGAGTTTCTGTGACTCCAGTCTTGCTGAGTGTGCTTGTGAGCTGCTGAACACATACTAGGGACCAGTGAAAGCTCTCAAGATGCACACATCAATTTATAGTAAAGTTTCTAGTCAGGTGATTTGCACTGTAGCTTTTATTCTACATTTTTGTAATGTTTTAAAAATGATCCTGCAAATCCTGTGAGAAATATACAAGTTTATATGAAGAACCCATAAACCTCTTGTTTATTTGTACTTAGCAACATGCATCCTTATTTATTCATATTTATAAAAACGCTTGGCAAGATAATTATCAATGAAATTTATGTTTCCTGCTGTATTTTTTAAAAGCTTGTTCATTTAGTGTTAAATGCCTGAGTGAAAAAGGAAGATGGTATCAAGTTTCTGTTCTCAAGTCAGTTACTGACTGCAAGTGACCTTGGAAAAACTGTTTTATTCTACAGCAACCTTTGTGTTTTCTAAGATCCAACCCTTATTTTTTAAAATTAGGAAGCTACCATTTCATTTTTATATATAGGAAGCTACCATTTCAATTGGAGCTCAACAGGTTTTTGACTAGAAAACAGATCAGACTGTCTGTATTGGAGATCAGTTTTGTGAGTGTTCTGTGAAGGTCTGGTTTGTTCAGTCTCTACAAATGTAGTGGGAAGATAATTTATAGGTAATTTATACTTCTGCTGAGTATTCTGATGCCCAAAGGATAATAAAGATGCTATATTTTCTAAGGTCTTTTAGTTTTATATGATGGATTTGTTTAACTGAGAATAATTCCTTGAAGCAGAATGGTTTGGGATTTATTTGTGTGCCTCTCTCATACCGAGTGCAAAGACAAGCAGCTCATTTCATACTGTCTTCAGTAGAAATCCATGAAGATTGGAATGGATAAAAGATGTTAAAGGAATGCCTTCAAGTATATTGCCCACTCTTTAGACAGATAAAGTTTGTGGAAATAAATTATGCTGCTCCATGAAATATATATAAACACAAAATCAAGGCATGATTACATTTCTGTGCTAGCTGACATGGGTAACCAGAGTTCACTTACAACACTTCCTTGACATACACAGCTCCCTTGCACAATTGTCAGGATCTGAGACTCTAACGTGGCAAAAACTACATTTTCAAGTGCCATGAAATGGGCTGCAGCTCAACCACAGGGAGCCTTGCTGAAGCCAAAGTTACTGAAGTTACAACTGGTGCACACTGGCACTCAGTGGGAGCAGACACAGCCCCTGACCAAGGGAAGAGTTCCATGGCTGAGCAGTCACAAAGGCACTACATGCAAAACGAGAGGAAATGTTCCTCTCCAGCTGTGAGCACGGCCATGGAATAATCTAGGAATATAGCTGCTATCAAGGATGAGAAAACATAGAAACAAACAGTGGCAATAGCTGAGCTGAGGATCTTAAATAATTTTTGGTGCCTGAGCCTCAATGTGAGCTGCATTTTAATTCTAAGGATGTACTATAATACTGGCCAGTGTCTTTTAGCAGCTGGTCAAGCAGCCTGGCAAGTACAAATATACCACTGTCAGTTGGTTAAGATAAAATTGAACCTTTTGGTGGTTCAGTTCCTGACAAATTAAATGGCACTAACTACAAATCTAGACAAGACTTTTGTTCAAAGTTAGAAAAAACAAATCAGGAACTAAAAGAGGGGGAAAAAAACCATGTCTTCCTAAAAGTCACTCACAGAATACTTCATGTCTGTCAATACTTTAAGTTATAGCTACTGTATTGTCTTCAGTTCATTGTATCTTTGACAGCTTTACACATTATTCTTTGCTCCATTTTAAGATCAATCTCCACTGTAATTCAGGAATGTGTGCCAAGCTGAACTCTTGGCAACGTATTACTGTTCCAGCACATAAAAGCCCCATACATTAATTATAATTAAAGATGGGTTTACATGGATGACAAACATTTTAAATGAAGAGCAGTTTTTTCCACAGTCATGAGCCAGAGAATTGTTCATGTTGTACATCTTCAGCCAAGGATTTCAGGGACATTTGTGCTTATAGAATGGCTTTGTTATGAGTCGTCTTTCTCCTTTGGAGCCGAGATTTAATATTTTAGTCTAGCTTGGTTTTTGGAAAGCTTTTATTTTTACAAGGTCAAAAGCAATGGACTTGACTCTGAATCATTTTTATATTTGGCCAGTGTTTGAGAGTTGCCAAAGTTAATAACAACATACTGCCAGTAAGTATGTTATTCCTTTAATATTTTTTTTTTTTTTTGCTTTATGTAAAGTACTTACTTACATTGCAGCCTGAATTTTGGTAGAGAACATCACAAGTCCAGTTTCCAGCTCAAGGGCCCTCAAAATCAGGTCACCTGAACAGCAGCCAAACTATCAACTGCTACATAAAACCACCACCTGCAATTCTTTACCTGTTATTACACACATCCACCAGCTCTGTTACAACCACCCTCCCCACAAATAAGTTCCTGAACCTGAAGTTTTGACATTATTTTTCTAGCAGAAGGAACAACACAACTCTAGTTTAGAACTCCATCAAATATAAGTAAATTGATCAATTTAGTTGCTACAGCATATGTCTGTGGTTGATTTGCCTCATCAGATTTCCTGAAAGATGCTTGAATATGGCCAAAAATACATTATGCAACATCTTCACCTTTGATCTTCATGTTTGCTCTCAACAATACCTTTGAAGAATATGTGCTTAAATTACAGAGGCATTGTTACACGAAGAGT